CCCGGCTTTGCCAACGCTACAGTCCTTGGGGGTCCGTTTGAACACGAAACAACAGCAATGTTCACAGTTGAACGCTGGCTCGTAGCGGCCTCTGGCCAATACCTGTGTACCTTACCAACCAGGGGGTCCTCCAGTGTTCGGGCTGCAAGAAGGAGCTGCACTATTTCATCCGGGACATTCAACATGCCGCTGACTCATACGGCTGCGTTGTCTGATGTTGAAGGTTACGCATTGCGTGTTCAGTCGTAAGTACTACCTTGAATAGAGCATGTTCAATCACGTATCCGGTGTCACCCGAACACCACAATTGACATGTCCTGCATCCTGTTCTCACAACTCCTTACAAAGACATTTTAAGCGCTCGTGTAGCTTTGAGCCGCACAGCTAACGTACGCACAGCTGTCACGTCCATGCTCCGCGCGGACTCTTGATGGATCAGGAAGGGGGGGCTTGTGTCACCCTCAATGCCGGGTTCTCGTGACTCGACAGCGCAAGTCAGTATCGCACGAGATATGTTGCGGGCCCCTTTAATCCTGTCTGTTTGAATCTGGTGTATGGGAAATGGTAGGTCGCGCCGAATCTGCGGGTACTGCGTCGAGGCAGAAAGAACCGAGACATGCGCAGTACGGCCGGGAGTGCCTGGTACGATGAAAAAGGGGGGTTGGGCTAGGAATTCATGTACGTAGACTGGAATGTCGACGGGTGCTTGAATTGTGGGCACCAGAGGCTCCTGGCCTAGTCTATGGAATCTCTATCACACGAGGCCTTGAAACGAACAGAGGTCTCGGGATGGAAGTCTCTATTCGACTGGAAGGCAAGGATGCGTTTTGTCGCAGCGTGGTATATATCCAGACAAACAGTATGCGCAGTCGAGAAAGCGAAAAATCAACAAAGAGAGAACTATGCTGTACCCTCGAAATATTCTCCGGCTTGTGTTCGGGCCAATTTGTTGTGCATAGTAGACGATATCAGGGCTGATGAGTCCGACAAGTTGGAACAACGATCCCACCTTCTTTCGGCGTGCGTGCTCGCTGCTTGTTATAAACTGCCGTCCCTCGGCCAGACTTATTACAATGGTCGCACAGACGGCGCCGAGCTGCTTCCAGACGGTGTATCTGCACCATGAAGGACGGACATGTGTGGCATCGTGAATGACAACCCAGCATGAGTTTCCCACTTCGAAACATCAACCAGGAGCTTGGGACTTCGAGAACGCGTATATGAGGGTTGCGAGGGGTCAGGATTAAGATGTCTTCTATCCCCCTAACTTGTATCTATTGCCTGCGTACCCAAAATAGTATCTATTGCCTGCGGACCTAGTGCGGAAGACCTCTTCACTCTGCTCAAACCCACGTTCTGACAGGTGGACGGAGGCAAGGCCATGCTACTGCAAGTCGTCCAGCCCCTCTTGCTCGACAGCCAGCCCCCCTGATGTCGTGCCGTAGCCCTTAGCACTTCCTGATGATGCTCTGATATCCTGTTGAAGACAGTCTCTTCGGTGCCAGGCCCAACTAGCCTGGAGGAATCCAATGATGAAAAGCGTCCTGGTCGCGTCAGTAAGACAGATATAGAGGGGAAAGCCTGAAGAACCGTACCAAAGGGCTCCAAATCCACACAGAACGGCAATGAATCCATTGAACGCAGAAGAGCGCTCCTTGTCTCCTGCCAGACCAACGGAGGCGGCTAAGACGATAACGCCACAGAATGTCGCAAATAGTGACCCGGCTGCCTGGACGCTCAAGTGAAACGTGATGCTGAGGCACCCAACAAGATGCATGAGGAGCGTCGATATTGAGAGGCTGAAGAAGAGCAGGAGCGGCAGGAGGCAGAATTCGAGCAGTCTAGCACTGTCAGCTACGCTCTTTAAGCCCGATACGATGGCTGAGCATCACCTGTTCCAACTCTCAAAACCGTCGTCGTCAGTCTCTTCCACGGCGCTGCAGCCTACAAGTCCAATTTCCCCGAGTATGACGAAGGACTGCGCCAGTAGAACGGCAGAATACAGTTCGCCTTTCAGATAAGATCCAGCATCGTCTCCGCCGCTGTGGTTGCTACCAGGGCCCGCTGAGTTGCTGCGGCCATGGCGAGATGTCCCATTATCGCTCTGTTTTCGACCCTCGCTCCTTTCCTCGCTGGCGTGCTGGCTCACTGGCCGATCATTCGACTTCGTTGGCGAGACGATCGGCAGCGAAGCTCTCGATCCGTTCCAGATCTGATTTTCATAGCCCTGAAACCGCCCTCGAGAGAGGACAGTCAAAAGGGTAAATTGCGCCAGGCTGTTCATGATCGACTCGTAACGGTGAGGGCGGTTCGGTGTATCGGCACCCGCATTCGTGGCATAACCACGGGAAAAGCGACCAGATGTCGAGTTCAACGTTGCGAGGCATCTGCGAGGTCTTTTATCAGGTGAAGTATGACCCTTCTCGTACTCTGTCACGCGTCGTTTGGCAGTGGTGATGGCAGAAGCATGTGAGCCTCCCGAAACGGCAATACCTCACATGATGTCTGGGATCTGGTTCGCAGGCTGGTGACCCCAACTGCAGGCCCTCATTCGACTTGGAGAACCAGAAGAACAAATGATGAACTGGAACCCCGTGTGATTTCGTCTAAGACTGGCCCCCGTCTTTCATGTGGCGTGACGCACTCCCAACTCGAATCGCCTCGAGTAGCGCAGGTTGTCTGATTTCGAATGAACGCCCTGGCTGATGATGTTGGACATGTAGCAAAGACGTCACGTGAAGCCTCATGGTGAACACAAAATGACCATTTCATTACTGCGGGTATGTTGCATCGCGATGGTGATTTTCATGAGGTTATATACAAACTCTTAATTTAAAACTCTAGTTAATTCGAGCGCAGCACAGCATGCCCTCACTGTCGCTGCAACCCCCGCTTGCACTTGCGCTTCGTATCCGTGTCGAGCACAGCAACCGACAACTCGGGCAGCGTAAACTCAAAGACGCCATCCTCGTTCGCCACGAGATCAATGACCTCCGTGTCCACAATGTTCACGCCGGTGAAGGGATCGTTGTAGGCATACGGGTCGGCGCTCGGGTTCGAGAGCACCGTCAGGAGAGCCTTGGCGCCGGCATCGACGCCCTCAAAGGCAACCGTGACAGGCACGTCGGCGCTGTCGGTCGTGTTGTAGACGGCGCCCTTCCAGATGAAGCTGCCGGCGTCCTCGTTCCTGCCGGCGACGTAGAAGAGCGGGTCAAAGGAGCCCTCGGCGGGCAGCGTCTGGGTCATGGGGTGCGCGGCGAAGAGCTCCCAGAGGTACCAGCTCGTGGAGCGCGTGGTGAGGGCCGCGTCGGCGGCGAACTGGACGAGGGTCACGGCCCACTGCCAGCGGTTCATGTTGCGCAGGACGGGCGCGTAGAAGGTGCCGGGGATGCGGTCGGCGTTGCGCTCATAGCCGATCATGGAGACGGCCTCGCCGACGGTGCCGATCCACCAGGGGAAGGGGTGGAGGCCGCCCTCCCAGGAGGTGCCGCCGTTGGGGTGGGTGGCGGCGACCTCGCCGACAATGTGGCCGACGTCGTTGTCGAAGCGGTCAAACTCGTCGACGAGCGCGTCGGGCGTGCGGTACGGGTGGTAGTCGCCGATGGCCGGGGCCGGGATGTCGTGGCCGTCGGAACTGGCGCCCGAGGCGATGACCTGGATGTCGGGTAGCGCTCGTTGATGGCCTCGAGGAACATGGGGAAGCGGTATTCCTTGTAGGACTCCCAGCCGGCGGCGCCGCCAGCGAGCCAGTCCTCGTTGCCGATCTCGACGTAGTCGAGCTTGAAGGGCTCAGGGTGGCCAAGTTCAGCACGACGGGCACCCCACTTGGAGTCAGCAGGGCCGCGGATGAACTCGATTTGGTCAAAGGCATCGTCGATGAAGGGTTGGAGCTTGTCCTTGGGAGTGATGTCGCCGTTCAGGGCAAGGCCAGCCCAGACGCCAATGACTGTCATGAGTTAGCAAGGAGCTTCCCACCACTTGACGACGGATCGACCCTACCGACTTCGAGGTTCATGTCCTCAGCCCACTGCAGGTACTCCAGCAGACCCAGACCGTGAGTCTGCTGGTACCCCCACACGCCAGGGAAGCCAGGACGGTAGCGGAGAGGGCCAAGGGTCTCCTTCCAGTCCCACCAGGTCTTGTTGGTGTTGCCTTCGAGCATGTTACCTCCGGGGAAGCGAAGAAGCGACTACCTCGCTGTTAATATGGAGAATGGTGGCAAGGGCTCTTGGGACATACAGGATGGAGTCCAGCAAGAGACTCGGCGATATCCACACGGAGACCGTTCTTGCGGTTCTTGTACGTGGGCGGGAACAAGCTGATCAGGTTGAAGTCGAGCGAGCCGTCTGCAGCGCCCTGACGAGATGTTACTACAAGGACGTCAAGGGGAAGCCAACAAGGCAGATGGACATACATCTGAATCAAAGGTGAGGGTAAAGGTGTTGTTGCTGTTCGGTGCATCCATGGTCGGGATGAGCTCGAACTCATGCTCGATCCAGTCGTCAGCAACGGCCTTGGATGCCACATCCACCGAGCCAAAGACGTCTTCGTTGAGGTCAGACCGCAGCGAGGCGGTGAATTTGCCCTCGTAGGAGCCGCGGACCCAGAACGAGCCAGTGTACTTTTGCTTCTTGACATCGATGCCCCAGTAGCCGTCGTTGGAGAGACCGACGACACCAGACGAGTTGCCGGCCGCCACGTTCACTGAGACTGGGAGGACATCGGAGAGGGGCTCGCTCAGGTTGCTCAGCTGGAGGCTGGCGCCGTTGAAGGCGTGCCAGCCGTCAAGGTTGACGGGGTAGCGGTCGCTAAACTGGAAGGCTCTGTTGCGAATGAGCTCGGCGTAGATACCGCCGTCGCCAGAGTTGTTGATATCCTGGTACTGTGAGCTGATGGGCGGCACGGGGCAGACGAGCGCGGTGACCAACCTCGTGGAGGAAGCCATACTGGTGGCCGCTGGTAGCGTTACCACCGGATGAGGCAACGGTGATGTCGAATGCGACTGAAGATGCCACACAGGCAAGAGCCAGCAGCATCTGCTTGAGGGGCGCCATGTTGCTATGGTGGATATCGGAACCTCAGTCAAGAGTCAAGACGTGCCCGTGCAGAGTCGGCGAGGAAGCCAGCGCATCTCTGTACGGTCTTTATAACCCTCCGGTTCAACGCGTGAAAGATCATCCAGCTCGACAACGAACTGCCAACACCGCCATGTCCACTGTGTACCACCCCGCTCCAATATGCGGCCATGGCACCAGGACAATCGGCAGAAACCGACCGAAGCCTCTTGATTCGGTCGGCAGTACTCCGAGCGACGCATCCAATATCGCTGCAGCAGTGAGCAAGGCCGCTGTGAGGGGATAAGGACGCTGTGACGGGTCCGGCTAATTCAGGGGCAGCTGAGATGAATGCAGGTAAGGCGCCTTGGTGGGGGATGCCGCGGAAAGGCGAGGCAATGTCGACATCACATCATCAACGGCCTGGCAACCTGGTGCCTCACCTCCAACAGCTCCATATGCAAGGAACGGCCCGGCATCGTGAGGGGAGAGGAGAGAAAAAGCGGAGAGGGAGCGGGGGAGGAGGACGATCGCTCGCTGGCCCTGGTCGTAGTCCCCAGACGCGCCACGGGTTCCCCAGATCCTTGATCATCTCGGTCATCAGGTGCCGGTTATCTGCCGGCCGGAGCAGATCACACGACTCCCATTCGCGCGCTTCACGATGCGAGGTCTGCTCCCAGGGGCCACAGACGAATGCCTGCTGGCGGGAGAACGACTTGGCACCGAACGACAGTATTGCCCGATGTAACGGTCGACGGACTTTTGTTGGCGTCATTTCCTTGCTTCTTCCCCGAAGAGGCGGATAAAATTGACAATTGTTTCTGACTCGCCTGGGGGGGAGGGAAGCCCCGGATCGTCCATGAGGGCATGGATGAGATGACCTCGCCATTTTGCCATGTCTTGTCAGTGGCTCGCTTGAATGATGGCATGATGCAAGTTTACAGAGAGATACAGAGCGGTTCACCCGGGCCAACATGACCTTGGTTGGTTTGCTTGCTTCACGTGTCGACTTGGCTGCCAACTGACAACCACAGCTCAGAACACTCTTCTCATTGGGACGGCACTCCGAATCCAGGTCTTTGGCTACTTCGGCCTGCCAAGAAACACAATCTGGGATACACGCCAGCCGACGACAAATCCTCCACCTCGCTTTCTGGCTATCCTATCAGCCTTGACAATGTTGCTCCGACCAACTAGACCAGCACCAACGCCCCTCCGTTGTCAATGTCAAAGAAGGCCGGTACCGTGTCCATCTTGCCCCCTTGCCTCTCCATCTCCGCCACGCCCTCCTCAAAAGTCCACCCCCGGAACCGGAGCAGCCAGCTGATGATGCCCGAATACGCCTGGACCCCGTCATGCGTCCGCGGCCAGTACCGCATCCCCGTAGCCTCCGCGAGCGCCAACCCCCCCCTGACCCCCCTGCCTGTCGCCTTGCCCGTCCCCAGCTCGTCGAGCCCGTGCAGCAGCGCAAGCCACGCCGTCCCCTCGGGCGCCACCCTGGCCGCGTGCGCCGCCTTCTCCGCGTCGACGCCATGCGGCGGTAAAGCAGCGCCTCGCCGCCCCCACGACGTGACGATGCCGGGGTGGATGTGCGGGATACAGCGAAGTCCCGATCCGGCAGCCGAAACATCCGC